CTTGGAGGGGTATTACATAAAATGAGTTATAATTTTGGGGTCTTGGAGGGCAGCTGGGGGTGCAGCCAGGTGGGGCAGTGATGGGGGTGCTCAGGGAGCAGGCGGGGGCTGGATGGGGCAGGGATTGTGGGGCTCAAGGACCAGGTGGGGGATGGGGCCTGGTGGGGCAGGGATTGCAGGGGGTGGGGCAGTGATGGGGGTGCTCAAGGAGCAGGCAGGGGATGGGGCTTGGGGGCAGGTGGGGCAGGGATCTGCTTCAGCACCAGGGTGAAGGCCAGCTGCAGAGATGCTCTGGCTGCTACTAGAGTGTGTCTGTGGAGGACCCAGTGTCCGGTTGCCTCAGGGCACTGTCTGGGACTATGTCCTACCCCGCTTTTTTTCTCTGCAGGTTTTTTTGACTCCTGGATATTGAGGGGTCTAATTTTGCCCCCACGATACAAATGTGCAGTGCAGGCAACATGTTCCCGTTCATGCACATGGCTCTTGCAGCATCTCAAAGAAGTTTGTGGGCACGCCCCACAAGTGTACTGCATGAAAAGCTGATTTAAATATTTTTATAACCATTGATAGATTGTCAAAATGAGTGAAAAATAGTTTTGTTGAAAAATCAAACTATTATAATTGTTGAAGAGGTGTTTAAAAGCTGGTGTTGGGAGGAAATGTTTAATCCAGCCTCTTTTACAAATAATTTAGACATTGCCTTGGGGTTTAAACGTTAGAATTATTATAGTATTTGGAAATCCTAATCTAGATTGTGCTATGCTGTCATTTGTACAAAGGTCAGACTTTCCTCTTCTAATTCTGGGCTGCTTGTGACAGCCAAAGTAACCTGTATCATAACATACACAGCCCTGAGGAACTGTTAGTGTTATAGCAGCCTACTTCTAGCTTTGTATTTATTATAGCCAGCAATTTTTAAAGCAGTGGTGGCCAACCTGAAGCATGGGCAGCCTGTGTGTATAGCGCATGGCAGGTGTAGAGGGAGCATGCAGCACAGAGACGGGTAGAAGAGAGAGCAGCAAGCAGAGCATCAAATCGGGCAGAGAGCAGAGGGCAGGAAGCAGAACAGCAGCTTGGGAAGGGAGCACAGGGCAGGGAGCAGAAAGCTGAGCAGCAGATTGGGTAGGGGAAAGGGGTTGGAATGGCACTTAAGGATGGGTCTAATTTGTGGTAGGTCTGTCACGAAGGATGGCCCATGCTGCTTTAAAATGCTACCTGTTACGCTACTGATACCAACACACCCAACTAACCAGGGCAAAATGAAATGTTGCTTCCTTTGGTTTTGTGCTTAATTGTAAGGCAATACTGTAATTAGTGAGGAAGTAGTGCAAGTTAAATGTTTATAAATGCTTTATCACAGAGATAATTTCTATATAATACAAGCAACAGTGTTCAGATACTGATAACACTGAAAGATACCATCAGGGGTTACAGCTCCCAGAATTCAAATTCCAAACCCCACAGAATTTTAATGCAAGTCAAGCCGGGTAAGGCTGCTGCAATGATATAAAAATGACAAATATTCTGATTCAGCCGTAATTAAAATGTTAATGTTCTGTTATGTGTTTCCTTACAGCTGGCAGCATTAGAAAGGCAGATCTTTGACTTTCTTGGTTTCCAGTGGGCTCCTATTCTTGGAAATTTTCTACAAATAATAGTCGTCATATTGGGTTTGTTTGGGACCATACAATTCAGACCTCGATACATAGTTGTGGTAAGTCCCTCTTATTGACGTTGTGTATCTTAACTTCTTGCGTTACAAAATGTGACCCAGCCTTGAAGCCTGCTGGCAGGGTGAAACCATCAGCACAAAGTGGAGCAGCCAAGATATCAGACACCCCCTCCTCCCTCCACCAGTGATTGTCCAAGAGGACTGCCTTTCATGGGGCTCTGCCCCTCTGCCAATCAGCTGGAAGGGGTGGAGCCACACAAAAAGCATCCTTTGGCCAATCAGAAGTGAGGAGCAGGGCTGCCAAAGCCCCTCAGCCAATCAGAGGTGTGGGGGCCTCCACTGCAATAAACCTGTGAAAATAGTGGCCAGCTCCATGATCAGCCCACAATATTGCCCATCTGCCACCTAAATTTGGGTAGGTCCCTACTTATGGCTAAGAAATTCTTTCTTTGAAGTTAACACTAAAACAATGTTCTCCTTATGTCACAAATGCTGTTTATTGGAGTTGTAGTATCATAGTCAATACAAACTAGAGATGTTTTTTTCTTTTTAATATTCAGCTGTAAAAGGTTCCCTATACATTCTGTCATAGATATTTAGTAGTGCTATGCAATTACTGTGTAGACTAGAGCTGGAAGTTGAGTGTGAGAAGGCTGAGATTGACTGGGCAAGGAAACCAGGACTGGAAAGGGAATTGGGGCTGAAGACAGACATGAACAAGAAGCCAGGGAGAAACTGAGACTGGTTTGGCAAGATTGTGACTAAGAGCCATTGGATGGGGGAAGGATAAAGTGATGACAGATACAGTGAGGGTGCTGGGATAGAGCTTGGACTTAGGGAAAAAAACAGGAAAAAGTGAAGGAACCTGAGACTGAAGAGGCCTAAGAAACGAAATTAGGACTTTGGGTATGTGGAGACAGGTATTTGAGGGAATGGGAGGCTGTAGTTGTGGAAAAAAATGGGTTTAGTAGGTAAGGATATCAGTTGGATAGGCAAGACTGATGGATGCCAGTATTGCCAGCTAAGCAA